CAATTCCGGGTTTTGGTTGTCGTCTCCGAGTTCATCTGCAATATTTTTGCATGTTATAATGTCTAAAAACAACAAAGAAAAATTTAAAAAAATACCGCTTTTCAAATGCAACTTTACAAAAATGCCACATTTTTGAAAACTTTACGAAAATGCCACTTTTTCAAAATTATTTTTTCTTTATATTATTTATGTTTGAGTTAACTATGTTCTATTAGGGTTTAGTTATGAGGGTTTAGGGGTCAAAACATTTTTTAGTGTTTAGAATTTTAAGATATATGGTTTAAAAATCTATAATTAGTGACATTTTTGCAAATGAATATTCCTAAGTGGCATTTTTGCAAATGTGCACATAAAAAGTGTCATTTTTGTACAAAAGATATTAGAGAGATAGGAGTTCTGGTTTAATTATTTATGTTTGTTTTTAAAAGTATGCATTGTAACATCCCACATATGAAATTAAGGTGATTCAACATTATTCCACTTAATGCAAATTGATTTTGAGTTGTTAATTACTGTTATAATAGTGTATGTTTTTTTCCCGAAATTTAATTAATATCTAAATACAACACACAAAAAAGGTTATGCTCGAAAATGTAATACCATGAAATATTGAAATGTAAAGAAAGGTTGGTTACCGCTAATGTTGTTAAAGGTGAGCCTTTCTCTATTCCATACGGGTATGACGGTGGGTTGGGTCTTCCCAAAGGCAAGCTCCATCATTGCTCCGAAAAACTGAGCCCCTCCAAACCCATCACAGACGGCGTGAGAGTGAGCCATTCCAATAGTCATTCCTCCACAAGCAAACATGGTGACCTGTAGAGCCAGAGGATCGTATCCCTCACAGCCTTTCACAGGTTCGTAACAAGGCACAAGTTGGTGGGATGCGTCAAAGTGATCAGTGCCCTCCAAATAGTTGAGAGAAGAGAGAGTGTACGTGGAGGTTGCTCTTATAAAAGGGACTCCATCTCCGGTTTTGCAGTTCAGCTCAAGTCTATTGTCTTCTGATTTTCGGTGAAGTTTTCCGGCGAGAGGGTAGTAATAGACAAGGGCACGAGAGAGGCCATGCTGGAGAAGAGAAACCGGGTCTTGACCTTTGAGGTAGGGATTATGTGCAAAGATGCATATGATTTGGACGATGGTTTCGAAGTTAGGATTGTTGTCGATGGTGGAGAGAGACAGAGAGACAACAGGTGTTGGCTTTGAGGGTTTCACTAGAACAACTTCTGATTTCTCAACGACCAAGCTGGGAATTGAACTGTCTTCATTTGCCATCTCTATTTCTCTCTTTATAATTTGTATAGAATTTGTATGTGTGTGTTTTCATTCGTACAGACTACAGAGGATGGTTCTTATACATGTTTTCTCGTAACCATATTGATCTATTTAAATATATTGCCAAGTGGCTTCGTATTTGAATTGGTAAGATCTGACTTTCAAGATTGGAGGTGGAAGGTTTTTAAGAACAAAAATATTCGAATTGGGAGAGCAAAATAAATAAATTGCTAATTGGAAATTAACGACAAAGTCATGTTTTGTGAAGCACGGTCCAGCGCGTTTTCTTCCGGAACGCATTTTGTGCTTCCATTCAACACATTTTTCAATTGTATTATGGTTGGTAATAAAAAAATAGAAACAAAAGGGGGCCCACACGGCGGATTCAAAATAAGAAATTGGCAAATATAAAAAAAACATAATCTAATAACTAAACTTTTTTTTGTTTTTTTTGTCTAAATCTAATAACTAACCAATACACTTTTACGTGGTAATAGCCGCTAGATTTAGAGATTTTGGTTAGAAATTAAATTTTTTTTTTGGTTATTAACCGAATTGACCAAAAAAACCAAATAGAAACTGTGTCCGACACATGAAATGGGGTGTTAAGCTACTGTTTAAATGCGTTTTTGGTATTTTTTTAGTTTGAAAAAATTCATACTAACTAATTCCATCAACTAATACAATTTTATCTAAAAATAAATGACTTTCGATG